CCTGAAACTAAAACAAAGTCAATGATGACTCTTGGAAACAACCTCACTACTTTTGAATAGGGGTAAGGTCTCTGTACACACACCCTCTCATGCCCTACTTTTTGTGGGATTCTACTGGGTTTATTTAGCCATGGATGGAAAGCATGCAAAATTGACAGCATTAATAAAAAACTAACTCTGAACTAAACTTAAAAGGGCATGTTCACATAATCAATATTGATGATTACGATATTTCTGGTAAAAACATGAGAATGAAAAGATTTTTGTACTGTTACTTTTACAGGAAAAAAAGTCTAAAACAATGACAGAATTGGGTTTGTGCTAAGAACACTAAAAATTGAGAGTCCATGGTCACACTGGCTGTCATTCTTAACTAATCTAAAAAGATCAGAAAAAGAACTCACATTTGCTGCTTGCAAGATGCTATCAATCTCCGGTATATTAACATGACAATCTTTACTGATGAAAGATTCCCATTTCTTAATTCCCGATAGAACCTTTGCTCAAGAGAAGTCGTGATCTGATAATTAGATTGAGTAAATATCATTAAGGTTCTACACTAACTAAAAACTGATGCATGTGAGCATATCATTCCATATTCCAGGAGAGTGCATTGTGTGTGGAATGGTGATACTATCAAAACGAGACGCATACATCATTCTTTATTAATTACATGTGGATACTATCGAAATGGCAAAGGTTCCAAACCTTAGGTATACGCAGTGGATTTTTTGAAGCATATTCACACAATTTGTTAATCATTCGTTCATTGGGTTCCCCTCCCTGTCAAAAGTAAGAAATAGCTCAGTAATTGAACAGCCAAAACTGACTATTGAAATGTCACACTAACTCAATAAGATTCTAGATAAGAGGAAACATTGGGATAAACTGCAAACAACCTTTTCGTGCATAAAAACAGAAAACATTTTTACTCCATCCGTTCTCAAAAGAAATTCATGGTTTAACTTTATGGTTTTATCAAAATTGATGAAAAGTGAAACATGTATATTTTGAATTACAAAAGAAGAGAAATTATTTTGGAATGGATGAAAAAGGAAAGTGTGAAATTGTTTTCGGGGCAGATAGAGTATAAGATAAGAATAAGGAAAAATGGAAAATGATAGCATTGATCTAAATCTCGAGATCAGATTAGCTTAGTAGCCAACATCAGATTACCAATTATCACCTCTGTTGGCCGTTACAAAGAGGGGTTGCTAGTAGGAGACCGCCCCTGATATATCAAAATACCTGCTTCTATGTGCTCTGCACTTAACCAAAATCTATATTAATTAACATTTTTCTACTGGTTTATCTAACAAGTTGACTCAACCTATTCTTTCAAGTTAAGTTCATGCCTTATCCAACTGAATTGCTGAAATAGCTGTCAACCAATAATGAGAAGTCAATTTGCTATGCTTAACTTTGAGTTTAAAAAAGGTAGAAAAACTTTGCAAAAAAAGCTCCAATTTCATTGATATTTCAGGTGGAAACCCCATGGTCATTCAAACAATGATGTGCTGACAGTTTCAGCATGAAGTCATTTAATAAATTTCTTCATCTTCAAAAAAAAACATTTACAGGTTAAAGTATTGGCATTCATCCTCAGACAGTTAGACCCTAACTCTCTTCCAAACAATATGTCACCACCTCAATTAATGACTAGCTTAGTGATATTTGGGGAAACCACATGAAACAAAACATTCAGGTAGAAACTTGATAACATGCTTTCTATATTGTAGTGAAAAAGGAACATTTTGAATGATGAAACAAGTCCAAAAATTGAAGAGGAAAAAAAATTGCAAGCAATAATTCTCTGAGACTAACCGGAGATCGGGGAAATATATCGGTGAGCATCTTCTTGTAGCGCTTCACCGGCTGCCGTGACCTGGGCCGCATGGCCGGGCAACAAACGCAGAGCTGATCACACGCCGGCATTACCCTATGGGAAATCACACCCATTCTCCAACGCCAATCTATCGTATTATGTACACCATCCAGCAATTCTGAAGGGGACTTCAATTGACAAAGAAATTATGTTCAATTTTCCTCGGTTTCTCGAGGTAAAGAGGATGAACTGCGATTGTATGACGGAGAATTGTGAACCCGGAGGAAGATCGGAGAATTGACGGTGCCGATCTCCGACTTTCCTCGACAAAAAATTAAGAAGACGGCGTCGAAATCGGAGATCGGAGAGAAGATTAGAGAAGATGTTCTTTTTCAAAAGAAAGGTCTCCCCGGATTTGTACGTTGGCCGTCTGGAAAACGTTAAACGGCCATTTGGGGAAGATTTTAAAAATACGAGTATTTGAAAGTCAACTGAAGAATTGCAGCTTTGCTGGCTTAATTTAATGGCATGGCAGTTTAATTCTTTTTTTTTTAAAGAAAGCAACAAGGGTCCGTTTGCGATACGGGATTGATGGAATCGAAATTAAATTTGAATTAAAATTTATGGGATTAAATTCCATAGAATTGAATTCACCAATTCTAATTCATTTTTTACACTAGCAATTCCAAATCAACATAATTTTTGTACTACCAAACACGAGAATTGGAATTGAAATCTTTAATTCTAATTCCATAGTTTGAATTCCGTGTACCAAACGGGGCCCAAATGTCATTAATGCCTCAAACACCAAACACCACAAAGAGACTCTGCCTTCCTAGCCAAGTCATGAGCAACAATATTTTAAGAATGAGGCACAAAGTGGAAACTAATAAAATTAAATTAATCACACAAACAACGACAATCATCAATAATCGAACCCAAATAAGAAGTAGAAGTGAACGAAAAATTCCTGAGAGCCTGAACAATCTTTTGACAATTTGAGAATTGACAATTTGAGAAAAGCATCACCTTGCAAATCTGCCTAGTCTTCATCCATGATAAAGCCTTCCGAATAGCCATAGCCTCCGCTAGCAAGGAATCCCACTTATAATGCATTATCTCATTTGCATCCGCATGAAATTTTTTGGAAGAATCCAGAATTATGCTCCCAAATGCCACTCCACCCGAAGCGAGAAATAAGACGACGTCTACAAAGCATTGGAAAAACGTCATCTCGAGGTACTTCTTCACTCGATCGTTGATCATTTCCTTTTATCGGACTACCATTCCCTTCACAATAGATATTCCCCACCCACTCCATAACCAGCTTCGGTATAGGAACTTTTGATTCCCAAACCACCGAATTTCTTGCTTTCCACAAAGCCCAAATTGCCCCTTCCACCCTGCGTAGTTCTAAATTAGAAAGCGAATTGCACCTACGTTAGAACCAGGTAACAAACACACCAATCATGGACATAGGCCCACCCTCATTAATAATAGACCACACTTTTGAAGCAAGTGGGCAATTTAAGAAAATATGTCGAGGGTTCTAGTTGCCCGACCATGTCACAAATCGTGCAAGCATCAATCAGATCCAAACCTTTCAAGTTGAGACTCAGAACGATTGGAAGAATATCTCGGAGAGCCCGCCATAAACATATATTATCTTTGGGGGTACAAGAATAGGCCACACTCGACTCCAATCTGCAAAACCAGGCAAAATCGCAGTCTCACCTGTTAGCCGGCAATAGGCAGTCTTCACCGAGTAGTTCTATCCATATCACCACGCCAATACCACTCATCCAACCCATGTAAGCATACAAGAATTTTTCTGATCGAATCTACATCTATTACCTCAAATATTGAACTGAGTGCTTCCGGATTCCACAACCTAGTACTCTTTGATCTCACTTTATAATAATGTTTTAAGTTTTAATGATAATTCATATTATAATATAATCAATATTTTTTATTTTATGATTATTTTTATTGAAATAAAATTAGTTAATTCATATACTAGAATAATCATTCATATTATAATGTAATAATATTTGTTATTTTATGATTATTTGTTTTATGAAATAAGAATATTGATTTAATATTTTAATTATTAGTTGATATATACACTAAAAAAATTTTAATTTCTATATACATTAAAAAGTAATTAAATTTAGATAATCAATATAGAGAAGATGTGGTATTTTTTTATTAAAATATCTCATCCTTATAAAATATCAACGTATGTTTTATACTACGAAACTTTTTTTATGATTTATATAAAACCATAGATATAATAGTTATTTCAGTTGCAATAAAATATACTCCGTGTATGAATATCAAATGTTAATTTTATTTAAGTCATGATCAAAGTTGATCAACTCAATGTAGTAAAAGATCAAAATTTCAAAAACACAAATTACAGGTAGCAATAAAAATGCATTTTAAAAGTAGAATTTGATTGACATTGTCAATGTATTTTAAAAATATTTTTTCCGATGTCTAACTTGTTAAAAATATTTTTTCCGATGTCTAACTTTTTAAAAGTAGAATTTGATTGACATTGTCAATGTATTTTCTCAGTTTTCTATTTAACTTGTTTCTAAAGTTTATTCTTTTTCATTTTTAATAATAATAATAATAAAAATAATAATAATAATAATACCACTAATTCTTAATTGGATCTGATCTGATCTGGCCGGATCTGACCTGATCTGATTGGATCTGATCTGATCTGAGTGGATTTAGTCTGATATGATTGAATATGATCTAATCTGAGTGGATTTAGTCTGATATGATTGGATCTGATGATCTGATTTCATCTAATTTGATCTAATCTGATTTTAATAAAAAAAAATAAAAAAACAAGTTGAACCGAACGGGCCTATGTTACGACACTCTACTCATTTGCCATACGGTGACTGGGTTACTTTTTATTGGTTGAAATAATCATGTCACCGTGTGACATTTCATTTTTGCCTTCCCCATTGTCAATGCTGTATCTAAGCATGCTTGTTAAGTCAACCTGCCATTAACATTCGTCAACTCTCACAAGGCCAGTAATGGTCAAGTTGGCAGCGCCAATCTCAAATATTTCAAATTTTGGTGGGTCAAGCTCCAAATCCTCCGAAATTAGAAATCGACACTATTTACCCGGAGCCCCTCAAATCCCAAATCCCTAATTTCGTAGATCCTTCCCTCTCTCTCTTTCCCCTTTTCCCCCAAATTATTTTCGGCTAAATCTTTAATTTTTTTTCCCCCAAAACCCCTAAGGAATCACTCGAAATTTTTTGACAAAGCCAAAATCCTCCTCCTCGTATGGCCTTTCACGTAGCTTGCCCAATTACCTGGTACAGTAATATCCTTCGCTCGTTTCATATTTTTCCCCACTCCCCTTATCCCACTCTCTAATCCCCTCCCTCTACGTGCCTATGGGCGCCTTTGGCTTACGTTTTCTCGCGCTGTTGGGTGTGTTTTTGTGCGCAGCCGGAAGATCTGCCACTGCTCGCTCGGGTTCTCGGGGGGGCTGTGGAGCGGCAAGCGGAAAGATGAGTTCTTGCAGGATGTGGCGATGGTTGAGGAGTTTCTCAAGGACCCTTGGCTGGTTAGGGCTAGAGAGAATGCCACAATTCAGGTGAGGGTACCCAGACTCGCCATCGCTCAACCCTCTCAGCAGCTGCTTGCAGGTGATTCTGGTGGCGGCAGGGATGCGGATGAGGCGGCCGCCGAGATGTCTGCCCAGACCAAGCGGGTGTCATTGCAGAAGAAAGCCGCAGCTGCATCCTCTGTGGCTGAGGATTTTGCCAGGCGGTTTGAATCTGGCAATTTAGTGGTGGGTTTCTTTATCTTTCTGAATAGTGTTTGGCATTAATTTTCTATTTTGACGAATTTATTTGTGAAGTTAATATGTTGGGGTTGATTGGTTTGAAGTGGACTGAAAGAGTGCATTTTTTTTTTCCATTCAGATATTCTGTGAGGTGATCTTGATGGTGGAGTGCATGTTTTTATGGTCATTTGACTTCCTTTCACATTTTTTTTATAAATTAGTTTACCATGTTCCAGCATTGGAAATTTGGATTTTGTAACAGTAGTTTGCGGGCGAGGCTTGAGAAATAGTGTATTTTGAATTATGAGTATCTAATGGAGTCTGAGGTCTTCCATGCATGAATCGAATTTGTTGTAAAAAAGAAAAATCTAATTGAAGTGAAGGATGCTTCCATGGAACGGGCTGACGGAGCTAATAAAGAATTGATATTTTCTCTTGTAAGTTGTGTAATGTATACTGACAAATCATAAAATTTCTCTGCAGGATTCTCCTAACGATACTGCTGGAGAAGAACCGGGTCAATCAAATGCCAAAGTAATGTGTAGACTATGCTTTCGTGGGGAATGGGCAAAGAAAACACTGCCATGCAAAATGTGTGGGAAGAAGTATCATCGTAGCTGCTTGAAAACCTGGGCTCAACATAGAGGTTATTCTAGACCCCACCCCCTCCCTCTCAAGAATGCTGAACTGTGAAAATTATTTTATTTTATATTGATTCATTGTAATTTTCTCTAGATCTTTTTCACTGGAGTTCATGGACATGCCCTTCATGCCGGAGTTGTGAGGTGAATTTTGTTCATGCTTCTTTTGTCAGGAAAGGAATCTATACGCCACAAGTTTTCTCTGACACACGTAATGGATATATCAAAATGACACATTAAACTTCCATTGTTTCTTACTTTCTATGAAGTACTGGACAATAAATGTAGCAATTCATCTAGGATCTAATGGAAACAACCTCTATGCTTTACACAGGTAAGACTGTATATCTTGTCTCACAGACTCCAACCTAGTTGGGATTATACTGGACTACTGTTGTTATATATATATAACTCACATTTGGGCTCCTTAAGCCTGTCTTTAAACAACACATCGCTTATTCAAACGGTCTAAACTATCACAAATGTAATATGATGAAGTTTGTAATAAAATCATCACAAACTCAAAGCGATGGCATTTTGGATTAAATGTGAAATCCTTCTTGAAGTTGGAGACCGAAATACAAAAATCAAAGTCAAGAACAAAAAGTGAAAATGTCACTATAGTCGAGGGGTCAAAATTGGAATATAGTCTACTTACTCTTTTTTATGCGTTGAGAGTATTAGAATACTAGTATCTTCTGTTCATTCCAGAAATTATGCTGGATGTACTTTATATGGGGCTCCTCAGATCCTTTTGCCACTCAAGTGCCAGTGGGATGACCGGTTGCCACAGGCCCACAGCCCAGATTGGGGCGATTAGGGGCCAAACCGCTAATGGTGCATTTATGGTGCGGGCCATTTGTGCCATCCATATGCCTGGTGCTTGCTCCATAATACACATTCAGACTTAGGCAAGTATAAGATAGTGAGGGGTGTATATAATGTGGACTCACCACCGGTTGCCATTGCCATGATCATTGCATATATATCTTTTGATTTAATAGGCAGCAAAGTAGCATTGCAAAGAGATCTACCTTTAAGTTACAGCATATTCTGAAAACTGCACAACAAGAAATTAAAACCAAATGGTATACAGAAAGATATCTAGAGAAAACACTAGGGTTATCGGCTCATGTTCCCTTGTTCTAGTAGAAGGGATTAAAAGAGAAAAAAATGCCTTTGAACTGGTGACTAGAGCACCTATGATTCATTTTGAGTTCGCTGCCTGACCATGTTCTTATTGTTCAATGCTCTAATAGGCATGCGGGCAAACTGGAGATCCAAATAAGTTCATGTTTTGCAAAAGATGTGATGCAGCGTATCATTGCTACTGCATACATCCTCCGCACAGGGTGGTGTTTACTCGTCGAATCCTTGTTTTTACATTTTGTACAATCCCTGACTAAAAAATTATCATTCTTTATTATTTATTTGGTGCAGAATGTTAGCAATGGAACTTATTTGTGCCCAAAGCACACTAAGTGTCACAGTTGCAATTCTTCTGTTCCTGGGAATGGCCAAAGTGTAAGGTATGCAGTTTAAAGCACCCTATGGAGCTTTGTGAGAGATTATACATTTTCTGGCCCATTCTTAATTAAGGCAAAACTTTTGATGCATTTAATGGTTATTATTCCTTTTTTCTTGTTAAAGGAGTGCAATATTCATTCGTGACAAAGCATGAAAGATTTACCATCATCAGCTTAATCATTAGCCTGAAATTTGATAATAGCCATAAAACGCTGCAGGTGGTTTCTGGAATATACTTGCTGTGATGCTTGTGGGAGATTGTTTACGAAGGGAAATTACTGCCCTGTTTGTTTAAAGGTAGGATATTTTTGTAGAACACACCCTAATCCTCTATTTCATCTGATTTCAGAGTATTAAAAGTTTTTGAAATATTTTCATGGCAGGTCTATAGAGATTCTGAATCAACACCCATGGTTTGTTGCGATATTTGCCAGCGCTGGGTGCACTGCCATTGCGATGGCATCAGGTCTACTTTTTTCAAAAACTTTTATCCAGATTAGTAGTATATTGGATTTCATTTACTTTTTGTTTTATTTTTTTTAACATGCAGTCTAAATTTAAAATCACACTCTTCATTGTGGCTGGAAATCTTTTGTTTTGGTGAATACAGTCTCGGGGAGTCGGGGTATGGCTAGAGTGATAACAGTGGGGACACTTTCCCCCAATTTAATATGAAAACTTGTGTTTGTGCATAATTTAATACTACATTTGTCCGAAAACACCCTCTTATATTATGTAATGAAGTTACTTGTAGGTTTAATTAAATTTATGGTATGTAACTTATGTAATTAAGTTACTTGGACTCCTTATAGGACAAAAGTTTTTGAAGTAGGATTCTTATTTCTCAGACAGAGAAAGAGTAATAAATGTTACTACATACCTTATGATTCATACTTATAATTACCCTTACTCAATTTCCAAGTAAAAGTATATCTATGCAGTAATAAGTTTCCCTTGCTCATTCATATTCATGGATCTTCCCTTACAGCAACTTTTATGCAGAGTAATTGTTTAATGTTTTGTTCAAACAAAACTGTGGGGTTTGGTATTTGTGAATAACAACTTAGAATGACTCTCGAAAGAAGATGCTATGTAGAGCGTTTGAAACTAATTTCCCACCTCCAGTTCCCCATAGTTTTTTGAAGCACATTACAGCGCTAATGTATGTATACAGCATTAAAAATAATCTTTTTGCCACATTCATAGGAAAACAATTGGGTTGTTGTAATAGGAAAACAGGTGGAATATTTCTGCTCTTTCGATTGTATTAGTTAATTCAGTTCTTGGCTTACTCGTTTCCTAGATGATTACTATTATGTTTTTGATAGAAGATGATCGCTATTTTGTTTTTCAGTGTTTGTAACTTTTGGAGTGTTCATTTATGGCTTAATCTTAGTATCTTGCTTGACGTTCTTAATATATTGCCATGATAATCTTAACTCACAGTAATTATCCCCTGAATGATAACATCGTATCATCCTACATGGATACATAATCTGCAGAGCATTTTACGCTACTGATTTATCTCTTTGCAGTGATGAGAAATATTTGCAGTTTCAAGTAGATGGAAATCTCCAGTATGCATGCCCAACATGCCGAGGGGATTGTTATCAGGTCTGATTGATTGTATCAAATATGACTGCTGAAAAAAGAACTTTTTCCAATGCCCTTGCTGTGACATTTTTCCTTGAATGTTTTCAGGTTAGGAATCAAGAGGAAGCTATTCAGGAGCTTTGGAGGAGGAAAGATGAAGCTGACAAGGAAGTGATTGCAAGTTTGAGGGCAGCTGCTGGATTGCCAACTCAGGAAGAAATATTTTCAATTTCACCTTTTTCTGATGATGATGACAGCCCCATTGTATCAAAGAATGAATTCGGTCGTTCATTGAAATTCTCTCTCAAAGGTCTGGCTGAAAAATCTCCCATGAAGAGCAAAGATTATGGGAAGAAATCTTCAAACAAGAAGTATGGGAAGAATAAAGGACATAAGGTATCTTCAGCTGGTCAAATAGAATCACATATGGATTTTCAAGGCCAGCATAGTGATGCTCCATCTGGTGGATGTAGTGCTGGTGATGTAAATAATGATGAAATGAAGGCTTATAGAGGTGAAGAGCCCGATTCTTCTCCTATTGCTGGAAGCTTGACAGAAGGGATATGTTTTACTAATCAGGCTGGGGTTGTAAAAAGTGAATACATAGATATGGTTGCTGCTAACAATGGAAACAAGACTTCTATCCAGATAAAAGGCAGCAAGCACCAAAGTACCAGTGATGAAGATGTTGGAGCTCATAAAAGCATGTCTAAGACCACCAAAGGACCAAAGCTTGTCATACATTTGGGCACATGGAATAAATTTGTATCTGGTTCGCCTAAGTCTGATGTTTCGAGTTGTCAAAGAGATCAATACTTCCCTACTTCAAATGGTATGTCCTTCATGCTATGATCCTCTATTTATTACTACGTAATTTATTTATTTTAGAGCATATGGGATTGACCTAAAGTTCTTTAGCTTAGTTAGCCATTATAGTTCTGTAATTTCATTTCACTTTATTAATTTTTGTGAGAAGTGATGAGTGTAAATAGTAACTAAGCACCCGCTAAGGATTTAGTGCCTAGTTGGAGACTAATCATGGGTAGGTAATATCTCAGTGGAATAAGATGGGGCGTAAGCATAAATGTGATATTAAGTGGCAGAGGAACCTAGAGTTTGGTGGGGATTAATTGGGGCTATGCAGGGATTTTTTCTACAATGCTTGAAAGTTAAGCTCTCATCGTCACAATCATAAAGTTGGTCCAATCTTCCACATCCTTTTATTGCAAGCTTTGGAAATTCCTGCTCTAAGAACAATGTTGTATTCTTGCATAATGCGTTTGAAATTTGGAATGTAATGTACTCCCTCTGCGGCCTCACCGTACAAGTTTTTTTTAGGTTTTAAAATTTTCTTCCCGTTACTTTTAAGGAAATAGTTTTGTGGTTGACATTGCTTCTATCAATTCTAAACAAACCAAGTGCTTTCATTTTCTTAGTAAGCGTTCCCATTAAGGCGAGAAGCAAATTATAGGATATTAGGGTGGATGGAGTACTTATATTATTGCAGTACATTTGTTATCCTTTTGCTACCTCTTGTAGTCTTGACTCTTGCACTTTTGCTTGAGCACTAAATGGAGCCAAAATCTGGGCGATAGCTTGCAACAAAACCACTTAATTGAGTTTCAAAGTTGCCTGTCAATGTTTTGTTAATGCTGAGCCATCTTATTAACAAAATTCTTTAAATGGTCTTGAATATCTCTAAGCATCATCATTTTTCATTCCATATGTGAGTGAGAAAAATGAGGTGATTTTAGACCAACAATGTGGTTCAAAATGAAGTTTCGAAAGAATCTGTTGCCCTTCCTGATTCCTGATATTTTTTACCTCATGTGCTCGTCGCAATAGGGGGTGATGATATGGGTCAAAAGAATCTGAATGAGCACACAGAAAGGAATGAAATTGCAGCAGCAGGTGGAAAAGGTAATTAATATCTGTAAAATCTCATGATCGCGTCATTATTATTATTTTTAACTGTTGATGGTTCCTTCCCTTTTATAATGCTCATGATGAATTCATCTTCTATAATGAGCCAAGATCATCTCAACCAAACGCAAGGTCAAAAAATTGGTGGAAAAGAAGGTCCCTTGATAAAGATAAAAAAGCCTAGAACCGAAATTATTGATAGGACGACTGTCAAAACTGGGCAAAAATCTACTGACGGATCATCTGTGGGAAAAAGAAGCAATGAGGCTAGCATGGCTGCTGCAAGGGCTGCGACCCAGCTTCCCGCCAGTCGAAGCAACAAAGTATCATCCATGAGACAAGCAGGAGGGGAACCTGATGGTTTGCATGTCGGCGATGGAAATAATGCACTCACTCATTCAATGCAAAAAGATCCGAAACGACCATTAAAGCTTAAATTCAAGAATCCGTACCCCGATGTGCAGAATCAATGGGCATCTACGGAGGAAGAGAAAGGTGTGATCAAGGGCCAAAGATCAAAACGAAAAAGGCCATCACTTTTTGGAGAGAACTCATCAGCCACTGCTGATTTGCGACGGTATGGAGATAATTCATTGGACGAGATGATGGATGCTAATTGGATCCTCCAAAAGTTGGGAAAAGATGCGGTGGGAAAGAGAGTAGAAGTTCATTACCAATCTGATAATACCTGGTAAGTTTCTAGTCAAATGAATATCATCCCACAGGTGTTATTCCATGTTCCTCTCTTAATCTTGTTCTTTTTTTGTCTTGGTATTCCAGGCATAGAGGAAAAGTAACAGAATTCTTTGAAGGGACATCAATTGTGGCTGTCACTCTGGATGATGGAGATACCCAGAATGTAGAACTAGGGAAACAAGGAATCCGGTTCGTCCCACAAAAGCAAAAGCGGTAATTAATCATTGGATGTTACTTTGTACATTAGTCAGATTTGAGGATGTTAGGGGTGGTTCAAAGAAAAAAGAGGACGCGACCCAAGAAGACAGCCGTTTTCAGGTTGGTGGGTTTATTTCTTCCTCTTGGTGCCCTCTTTGCAGCCATTTGAACCCCTCATAGCCTAACCAAGAATAATCACAGCCAAATCAGACACTCTCTTCATAGATATATAAAGAGCCAAGTGCTATAAAGAGCCAAGTGCACGTCCGACCGAATCTTTTTGAATTTCATTGGTTTCTCTACGTTTCTTTCTGGTTTCTTGTCTTTCTATGTACTCCATAGTACAGATTGGATTGCATGTTTTGGCCACTTCTTTTAGGGTGTGTCAAGACAAACGAACAAACTCAAGACTGTAAATTTGTGTAGCAATGAGAGCCGCCGCTGTGGCCATCCTTTTGAACATTCACACACAATGTGCTTTCCCGGTATGTTTATGTAGCTTCACAAGCCTTGTTGATCATTGATGGACCTCTATATTCCAATTCTGGTGGTAAGTAAAGATTCATTTTATTTTATTTTATTTGAATATTTTTATGCTAGCTCTCAGCATTTAGTTGTTCAAATTTTCTTTTTTTTGTTCAAATTAAACTGTCTACTTGCGTTACTGGTAAACGAATGATGAGAAATTATCCAAAATGCTCCTAAAGAGTAAAGGGCATGTCAAGTGTGTTGCAAACCATGGAGTGTATAAGTCAATTACATGGGCTTTTTTGTCAACTTTTTTTTTCTTTGAAGTTGGACTGGCGATGCCTAATACTGTAATTTTTGCAAATGTGTTTAATGGTTTCTTCCACACCTCTGCTGTACACATATACTGTGCTAAAAACTGTTCAATTCTTAGTAGAATAGACTATAAGAACAAATGGCATTGTACTCCCTATATTAAAATTTAAGTGTCTGATTTATGATGCTTAACTAAAATTATTTTGAATTCAATCTATATAAGAATTAGGGTGAAATTTAAAAAATATAATGTGCGAATATTATTTAAAAGTTACACTAAAAATATTTTAAAAGAGTGGATATTAACTATATCATTTTATCAAATAACGAAAATAAAAAAAAGAAAGTGAATAAAGTTGATGAAAACATTGATCTAGGTGCAAAGCAAAATTTTGAGTATGTTGACGAAAGTATCCAATAAATCGTGGCTTGATTTGAAGAAGAATGATGGACGTTTAACACTATGTTGGTCTCTTGATGTTTTTGTTGACCAAGTCTTGCAACCAAAACCCTCATGCTCTAGCTTGAGGAGGGTATTCAGTAGGGCATAACTATTAACGGAAAGTTATAGCCCCCTGACGTTTTAACTTTTTTGATTAATAAGTACTCTATCCGTCCCAATTTATAGTACATGTTCACTATTCATTGGGTCAAACTTCATTCACTTTCTTTTTCTATTTTCGTTAGCAATTTGATAAAATAAAGTACTATTGTCACTACTAATTTTGTAGATCTTTTAATGCAGTATTTTGATATGTAATTTTCATTTTTTAACTCTATACCATTTGTCATATAAAATGATTTGAAAATAATTTCAGTCAAACATCGGAAACCGAAACAAGCGCTATAAATTGGGACGGAGGGAGTAACACTTTTTACCACTAAGCATAATCTAAATAAATAAATGATATAAAAATTTGATACATCAAAACAATATCCTAAGATGAACGTAATTATATTTAATTAATATTATTATAAATAAATTTTTTATATAACTTGTGGCTTAAGTGAGTCACTATTTGACCAAAAAAGGTCAAAACATTAAATATTTTTAGGATCGGAGGGAGCAATATAATATCTTTATTTGTTATTCCACTTCCATATACCTTCTCCCTTGCTTTGAGTGATATGAAGTCCACTCTCCAAAATTCATGAAGAAGTTTGCCTAAATTCGATTCCATGCAAAGGCTGAGGGGTTAACTCATTATGTCATTAAGTTGAGAAAGTACAAATAAATACGGAGTACTACATTATAATAAAATCACTAGCATTCAAAAAAAACGTGCTTGAGCTTTTAATTAAATCATTAAAAGAAAAATTAGTCAATCCATTCAAAAAAAAATTTCTCACTTTTCTTTTCATTCTTCCATAATTCCTTTTCATTTTCTCTTCCGGACGGCTAGAATGCCTAACGAGTCGAGGGAGAGTGTGTTGGTCCTTCTGTTCAAGAGAAAGGTTGACATTTAGAATTGTGAGATATACAGAGGTATCAAACTATTTGGCCACTCCATGAAAGTTTGGGAGTGTAGTTGTGGATCGAGAAAGTCAAAGAGTTGGAGGCACAAATTAGATTGTTTTACATTTCAAACAAAGCAAATGTTTGAAAATGGATGTTGTGGTTCTGCTGTTCTTCACTTCTCGAGTCTCCTCTTCCTTGAAAATGGTAGGTTAAGAATTTTTTATGGGTATCACGTGTGATTGGTTTAAAATGTTAAAAATACAAGATAGGTATTTCTTTTTAAAATTGGGCGCGATCTGATTATATTTAAATGGGGTCTCATACTTCCATCAACTTTAGTTGGGGGCCAAAGAACATGAAATTAAAAATATATAAAGAAAAACTAGTTAAGTAGAAACATTTAGTAGGAGCACTTGCCCCAACTATAATATGCTCCGTCCGTCACTGAGAGCGCAGAATTGACTATAGATAGACAAGTTTCAGTATCTTGATTCGGTCTTGAGACGGATGAGAAATTGGACAGGGATGTTGCACATCACATTGGAACAGTTTGGATTAAATGGAGATTGACTTTAGAGATATTATGTGATAAGAAGATTTCTATGATGAACGGTAAGTTCTATCAGTCCATTGTCAGACTAGGTATATTGTATGGTGTGTACTACTGACATTAAGAAAATCCATGTTCACCCGCTACATGCAGCAAAGATGCAAATGCTACGTTGGATGAGTGGGCAGACGAGAACGGATAAGATTTAGAACAAAGATATCCCAGGACGGGTGGGGGTGACACCAGTGGAAGATACGTTTGTGGAAGCGAGATTGAGGTGATTTTGACATGTGAGACAATTAAGTGTAGATGTCCTAGTATGGAGATTCAAGAGGCCTCCAGATCTAAGAACGGGAAGGATGTGATTAGATAAGACGTAGGACCTTTTGCCCTTACTGGTGATATGGATTTAGAAAGGAGCGTTTGGAAAATTAGGATTATAGTAGTTGGGTAGTCGTTTTAGGCTAGGTGGTAGTTGCTACATTCTTTGTTGTGTGGTTTATATGTTTGGCGTCCTTTGCTTGTAGTGCTTTTCTTAATTAACTTTAGTTTGCTCCTTGTCTCTTTGAGCTATTTTACTCTTTTTACTCTTTGTGCCTTTGTGATCTTTTATTAGTTGTGCTATGTGAAACGGTGATTTCATGGAAACAATCTCTCGAATCTCATCTCCACTATCTATTACGGTGATATTCATTTGAGTTATTCTTGTTGTATTCCTTTTTAATTTGTCTTAAATGTCAAATTTGCCCTCCACTTATTAATACCATCGATAAGCTGAACCACCCAAACCCACCCAACCCACTCCGTAATTGTCCATTTGTCCTTGTTCGCGTTTCTTCCCTTGTTTTCAACCCTGAGCTCATCCTTTGGAACCCTAATTCTTCTCCTTCCCCGCCCATCTATATTCTCCTCTCCAAAACAAAGATCCCCTCATCTGCATTCAAACCCTATCTTTGCTCCCACTCTATTCGTCGATTCGATTAATTGTTGGGAACCCAAGCATAGATGCAAAAGATATGTTTTTAAATAGATGCATCTTTCCGCAAAACGAAGAAATATTTCATGTTTTCTCGATTTATTTTATTTAATAATTGGAATTGAAATAAAAAAAGTATAACTTACCTTCTCCTTCTGCCTCACAATAAATTACACTCTTCACTATTTTAAAAATCACAAAAATATTTCTTGATTTATGTCTTTTGTAGAACTTTTGATGTAATTTTTAAATATGCAAATTTTATTTTTATTTCTATATCAATCATTAAATAAAATAAATTGAAAAGGTTTGAGATTTTACTTCATAAAATGTGATTCATTTAGAGACGGGAGTATTTGACAAGTACGGAATATGTTTTATTCCATACAAAAAAAGGTGAAAATAATATTATATTTTTCAATTAAGTAATAAAAATCACAAATAAACAAAAGTTACGGTGAATTTTGAATGTTATGTTTTGAGTGTCATATTGTGACAACATGAGATTAAGACAAACCAACATATACAAAGATGCAAATTGGGATTGAGAGTACAAGTCAAATGAGGCACAAATAAGGCCATGCAAAACACATTCAATATACCATACATGTACAAACTCTGGTTAGGGAGTTCAGGTTTACACATAACAAATGCATATTGACCCTATTGGGGAAAAACAATTTTACTATAAGGAGAAATTCGAATCTCATGAGGTACAATTTAACAACAGCCAAGATCACCCATACTACTTTCATTGGCAACCATTCAATTCACTCTGGTGACATGTCATTGTACACACTAGAAAAGGAAAGCTCTATGAATCAATAATGCACACTGTATACATATATGTATAAAAGTACCTAATTCTGGACATGAACATTGCACAGATAGTAGATACAGTAAAATTGTACAGTGTGGGGAAACCAAAAAACGTTTTGAAAACAGATCATATATAGTGATGACCCCAACTAGCAGTTAATCCCACATTCTTGGACATCTGGGCCAGTAACCCTTGTCGTGAAGGGGTCAATTCGGACCCAAAGCAAAGAGAAGATGGAAGCAAGCAGGATAGACCAGACGACGACGATGGTGGGGGTACGGTTCTGGCGCCCCATGAGACCTTTGAGGAACGGGTAGAGGTGAACGATCACCCAGAAGGCAAAGAACAGTTTCCCGAAGAGCGGTCCCCACGTCTGGTAGCCGCTATTGATGGCATACGAGATTCCCGCAACGACACCAACCAGATTTATGACGAGGAGAGTCGTGGGGGGTATGAGAAGGGATGTCCACTTGAACATGTACAGCTCCGCAAAGTCTCCGTCCTCGTCGGATGCCTTGGAGGTGACAGTGAAGTTGGTGTCGATTCCAGCGAGCACTTTGAGCAGCCCTTGGACCACCGCGAACAAGTGGGCCGAAACACCGCCGATGACCCAAAACTGTTCATTTCTCCACCACTCGTCAATTCCAACGCCGCTCCACCTCATCTCGAGTATACCGGTGGCGAAGATGGATAGGAAGAGAGATATAAACCAGATACTGGCAAGGTTACTGATCTGCAACCAAAAAACAGACATTGGTTGGTTAGTTTGATCACACAATTAGAACTTAAGCTGCATTCCGTTCGCCTAATCTGATCTGATTGTAGTTATATTTAAAGTTGTTTCTGGTCTGGTCTGATTCTAATAAGAATAAGTAATAAGCTGAAAGAATAAGTTGAACGGAACGCAGCCTTAGAACAGTGTCCCCCCACACATTATTGGAGCATGCAGAATCATAAGATATAAGATATCTCCAGCAAGTGAACAAGGGACAACTGCATTAGAATGATTGATTTAGGGGTTAACATGTGAGAGCAGAAATGTTGAAACAAACCTGTGGAATGATGAACTTCCCAGTAAGTAGACAAACAGCAGGGAGAGTGCAGTAAAAAAGAAGAGGGATAGAAGTGAGGGGATAAATGGTTGTGTTGACATAAGATAATCTCTCTAACCACTTCAGCCTTCCAGTGTACCCATACCATATAGGACAATGCCTGCTGAAAAGGATTTCAACAGACCCCAAAGCCCATCGAAGCACTTGGTTCAAACGGTCAGAAAGATTAATAGGAGCAGACCCTTTGAAGGCAGGCCTTTTAGGCATGCAGTAAATTGATCGCCAGCCGCGGGCATGCATTTTGAACCCTGTTAGAATATCTTCTGTGACAGAACCATAGATCCATCCTATCTGCACGTGTTGCAAGAAAGCGTGAGCTCAACTAGCAACTTCCATTTAGTAAGTGGAATTTCAAAGCAATTTATGGTATGTCTGGGATCTTAGATTTGGATTTCAAATCCAGATTTTGCCCAAATTCCTTGTTTAGAAAATTTAAAAATTTGGACACGGAGAGTCAAAATACACCATAATATAAGGAAGTAAAGGAACACAGTAATTAGACTCGTATTTAAGAAAAGCCTGGTCAATTCTGCCTTGGGCTGATTTTTATAAACAATATAGCGTAAAGCTGGTCTGTACCCTATATATTTGGCCACTTGTCTAACTCTAATCCTGACTTGTGCATTGAGAATATCTTTAGTCCTATCAATCTACAATTCAAAGCAAGACATTTATCTTGCCCAAGAAAATCATCTTTGATTTTCCTAGATGTTGGATGTAAAAAAATATGGCAGACAAGTACACACCCTTACATATGACTGAGACAGAGAAGACCGACAAGCATACCTCCCTTCCCCATTCTGTTTTATCTTCATACCCACAACTGATAACATGAATTGCCTCTTTGAGAAGATTCTCAGGAGTAGCAGATTGAGGAACACCGCCATTCTCCATAAGCGTAGAAGCAACAAAAACAGCAGACTGGCCAAATCTTTTTTCAAGGCTCACTTGAGACATGAGCAGTGATTTCTCATCATCAAATCCAGCCCCTATTGGAAGATCAAAAGGGTCTTTTAATAAAAACCAACCAAAAAAATAGTTATTGGCTCTGACATGGGGAGCAATGCTCCAGTAGGGTCAGGAGGAAATTGATCATACCTCTAGCTTAAGAGAAGGGCATTTCAGAATCTTAGCCCTAGCTAACTGTAGAGAGAGAGAGAGAGAGAGAGACAGAGAGAGAGAGAGAGTTACCTTCAACTCCTTCCTCAATATCTTCCAAATTGAACACTGGAACAGTGGGATCCAAGTGCTTGCTAGATTTCTTCTTGTCTGAGCCCTTCTTAATTGACTCGGAACGTTTCTTTCTAGACCCACAGCATAATGAAGACAAAATGCGTGATTTTTTATGCTTTGGCTTGATAGGAGGGTCATAACCATATAATGCAGTTCTGTTGAAGACACATCCAGTACCCACATAGACAGGTCCTTGAATGCCATCCAAACCTCTCAAATTCATCTGTTTCCACACAGAGAAGGTCAGATCACATGCAACTACACCAGCAAGAAACACATGGAGGGTTTCCATACACCATAGGAATTGCTTATTGCTTTTGAGCAATATTAGTTTTTGGTATTGGCTATAAGATCTTAAATAACCACTTTTTCTCACCTTTGAAAGTCAAAAAGCAAAAAAACATGTTGCTACCCACTTATCAATTTCTCAAAACTGCTTATAAGCAGCTTTTAACATACAAGTCAGTCCATGACATGTTTCTCTATGCTTATAAGTTGACTTATAAGTTGCTCTTACCTATTTATTTTTAAGTAGCTCTTACCTATTTATTTTTAAGTCCATTCGTTCATTTCTCCTTATTGATCAATTCATTTATAAAATGATCCCTAATCTTTTATTAATATTCCCAAACGACTAATCTTTCATTTGAGTCACCTTACAAAAATACTTCAATAAGCAACTTCTAGGTAAAAAACTAATCAGCAATAAACCAAAAAGCCCTAACACAGAGAAACACCGCCTAACAACTTTCCTATTTTTGTCCTCACTAACATTTTTTTCCTCTACTACTTAGGAACAATTATATCTTTTACCCATAAATTAAGCACTTAAGGTGTTTCGGTTTGCTAACACACATAAGCATTTGACCAGAAAATTATACTTAAACATACAAACAATACACACTTTCACTTTTACTTAAATAATCACTTATATATTCCACATAAACAAAAGCAAAAATATAATTCTTGAAAACACTCCCACAGTTCACAACTGAGCATGACCATGGTAAGGAGATAGATATGTCACTTAGATGTAGTCGTAAAAGAGGTCAGAAAACATACATCAAAGAAAACAGTGTTACGGTTGGCATATCGATCGTTTCTATCAATACCATCAAATCTTTGTGGAAACTGAACATAGCAGACATATTTTCCAAGATTAGGATCCATCATAAAGCACATTGCTTCCCTTAAAGCTTTGCTGTTGTTTATGTAGTGATCACAATCAAGATTCAACAGGAACGGTCCATTAGTGAGAACTGCAGACACACGAACCTGCAGGGAGAGTTCATGAGCATGATGCCTAGAAGCATACATAGATTAAAAAGCTAAAGTACACACTATAAATTCTAACTACTTACAAGAGCATTCATAGCACCAGCTTTCTTGTGATGCTGAAAACCTGGACGCTTCTCACGAGATACATAGACTAACCGAGGTAGCTCATTACCATCTGTATCAAGACCTCCACTTTGACCCAAAAAGACCTGGATGAAGTAAAATCAGTAATGTCTACTTTGAAAGAAAATGTTTCTACTCGGATACCTATATAAAATACTCATGCCTAAAAATGTTAGCAACACCTAATGCCAAACAATATATTTGCAGTATAAGTATCAATGCTGTTAAAGGTATGAAAAATAAGCTATACTTACTCTGTCCCAAAAAAAGGTTTCACCTATGATATGTTTATATGATTTGGTAGGGAGATTAAGAAAAGTGAAATTGTATAGTGTAAAGTGATGCAGATGAGAGAAATTATAAAGATCACAAATTTCTTTCTAAAAGTGGAAAGTGGAACCTTTTTTGGGACAAACAAAAAGGAGATTATGGGACGGAGGGAGTATTATAATATAATGATATCCAAGATGGCAAAACATTTTTCATTGTATATTTTTAAATCTGTCCAGCAAAATTGCCTCCCTCATAAAAAACACAAATATAGGAGGGTATATTTAATTAACTCATTAAATATTACTCCTTCCGTCCCATAAAACTTTTCCACTCTAAAAAAAACGGGATTTAAGGAATTGTAATTTTGGTGTACCTCTCTAATTTTGACCTTTCTTCTATCATCTCCGATGAAGCTAAAGATTCACTATTTTTTGTCTTTGGGTATGATGAAATAGAGCAAAATGACTTTAAACTGTCTACGCTTCTTTTAATAGTGAAGTAACAGTTATTCAATGCAACTTTTGACACTCATCAATTCATCATGGGTAATTCAGAAAAAAGCACTCTATGTTTTACACGTAGGAGTGAGGCTGCGTACTTTCTTACTTTGACCTTACTTTATTGTAGGGTAAGATAGGATGTGATGTGTAGATTAACAATGAATAGATATGATGCGATTGGTAAGTTAATAATTAGTAGGGGTAGTAGGGAGATTTTAATTTAAAGTGAAAGTGTTTTTTGGGACAGATGAGAAGTGAAAGTGGAAAGGTTTTTTGGAATGGAGAAGTAAATTTTAAACTTTAGATTTTTTTACCCATCATAGATTAGAGTATTGAATGTATAATTCATTTCATTTCAAATTCTACACAACGAGCAATTTTCTAATTGAAGAATAAATATTTCGTTTTAGAAGAACAATTCTTCAAGTTGTATATCTCTGGTGTTCTACATGGATGCCATTGTGGCCACCTAAATGCTAGGCATACTGATTAAGTGGTCCAAAGTGGGAACGAATAAGCCTTATGCAGCCATTTTTTATTTTTCTACGTTATTTTCTTTTATAATTTATATTTTCCTAAACGACTACTTTATTCATAGTATACAACAACATCCCAGTAGAATCCCACAACAAGGTTTAGGGAGGGTGTACCGAGTTACCCCTACTTAAAAGCAGAGTTTGTTTCCAAGGGAACACATGCCTTATACTTTTATCTGTAGTATAAAGAAACAGAAACCCTAAAATGAGAAAAGAACAAGGTTGTTGAACTTGAGATTCTAGCTATGATTGGGGGAGGGGTGGAAGATTGTAAATTGGAGATCCTACAATACTAGTTCTTATGTAAGATTTTTAAATTGAACATATATGGAACAGTGGAGCGGGGTTCTGTTGACATTCCTTTACGGTGACACTAGAATGACACTGCCATTTGGAGCACCGATGATGCTCCGTTCGCAATATTCATGGTTCCTACCATCCTAGCCCCCGGACGCCGATTGACAACAGTAGATTGAGGCAGTGTCATCAGATGACATTGGAAGACATTGGAATGCACTGTCATTGGATGACATTGGAAGCCAGTGTCATCTGATCTTTTTTCGGTAGAACAATTAAATATAAATAAATAGTCATAATCATGAAATCAAAATTTGTAAACATTCAAACTAATAGTGGTCTCTCATCATCAGAACAACTTTTATCAAAACCTTACAGTAAATAATACTCCCTTCGTCCCAAAAGAAGCCTCTTAATTGGGTTTGGCACAAAGTTTAAGTAAAATGAAATTTTGTGGTTGAAAGCGATGTAGAGGAGAGAAAGATGCTTGGCCACACAAAATTTGCCAAAAAAAGAAAAAAGGAGTCTTTTTTTGGGACGTCCCAAAGGAAATGCAGAGTCTTTTTTTGGGACAGAGGGAGTAGTCGAACAGTAATAAATACAAGTCTGGCTTACTTAATTGAAGAAGACTGAAGAGGGCTAAAGCACAATGAGAAGTATAAGTCTGAGCAAACATTGACACTGAGAAGCATTAACTGTTTTCTTAAGTGAAGGCTGAGGAGTAAAGATCATAGAGTAACCTAGGAGCTGGGTTGAGGAGTAGGGACACAAGGCAGACAACTGCTTTAAGTAGTTTGAAGTGGAAGTAAATGAGCATTAGGCAGGCAGTTTTTATGTTTAAAACGTACATATATGACAATTAAATTTAAATAAATACTCCCTCCGTCTTCAACTAATTGAGACCGTTTGACTTGATGTAGTTTAAGAAAAGTGTTGAAAAGTAAAAGGTGATTGGTTGACATTTGTTTAGACATTTGTTTAGAAGAAAGAGAAGAAACGTGGATCACATATCCTTGGCTATTTTTGGTGCTTTTAAAGCTGGCCAAGTTACTTTATCAGGGAAGTAAAGAAATGCGCAAATTTCTTTGGGACGGCCAAAGAAGGAAAGTGTATGAATTAATTGGGGACAGAGGGAAGTCGTAATCATAACATCGAAATTTGAAATTAATAGTGTTATTTGTCAATATCAAAACATTTTTTTAAAACCTTGCTGTAGATAATAGTTGAATAGTAATGAATAGAAGTCTGGCTTGCCTAAAAGATAAAGGGTGAGGAATAAAGATCATGAAGTGAGCTAGGAGTTGGACACAAAGAAGACTGAGGAGTATACACAGGGAATACTTCATCAAATTTAATGAGCAAGTGAGTGTACAACTTCAAGGTTAGGAAGACGTCTTAAGAGATTGGACAATGCTAACTGAAGCATGAAGCAGTACCCCTTTTCCCTTTCTTCTCTGGATGACACAAATAAATTTGTTTTACGTCTATGATGGTCGGCGACCCAAACCATGTCTATTTCCCAAGATCGAATTAAGCTGCGATCTAGCAATCTTACGATCCAGCCCGGTGATCTCAATGACAGATTTACAAAGCTCCGTGCAAATAAAGAATGCCAAAGGATGGATCAGATATCACGCTGCAGTCACCATCCATCTTTGAATCTCCACTCTTTGAGGCACTTCTTTGGAAACTTGTGCATGGAAGTATGGGTCCATAGCATATATGCACCCAATTTCCAAGGCAGCACCTAGGCACCAAGACACTAAACGTCTGGTCTCTGCCAACATGGCGCTCTCTACAACATACATCTATCTCAATATAACAAAGATGGCAATACTTAACAGCTGAGAGAGTAGAATTTCAACTAATAATAAACTCAAAGTCACCTGAATCATTCCTGGATGATCCCTGGTGTTATTTCCAGGCCAGGGTGTGCCATCTTGCATGATCCATCCTTCTTCAGGGACCTTTTGGGCTTTTGCAACCAGAGAGTTGATGTGTATTTTGAACTCTTCATATTCTCTCTGCAGGAGAAACAATTAAGAAGCATAAACGCATGCACTAAGAAGAAACATTTTTTCTTGACAAATAGTCTAATGCAGAGAAATATTTACCTTCATAGCCCTGCGGTCTTTCACAAAGGATGGATCAACTTTATCCTTCAAGTAATCAATCTTTTGAGCGAAGTACCATTCCGGAGCTCTAGGCTCAATATTGTATTTCTTGCAGAAAGGAACCCATTTTTTTGCAAATTCAGCTGTTTCAGATAGAGCTTCAAAAGTCAACATTGCAGCACCATCATCAGAGACATAGCAAGAGACCTTATCAATAGGGTAATCCACTGCAAGAATTGACAGAACAGTATTTGCTGTAACAAGAGGAGGTTCCTTTAGAGGATCAACAGTACTGACAAATATATCAACAGCAGCCAATTGTGATGGTTCTCCCTCTCGGTCATATCTGCCAATATACACTTTAATTACATTCCACACTGAGTATTAAAATATAAAGAGAAAATGGAGAAAAAGTAACAATTTCTTGCCTAAGAGCAAGTCTGTCAAGATATGTTTCACGGTTTACCGGCAGCCACTTGGGGAACTGATCAAGAATCCACGATATCGCAAACCAAATCTCACATATTACTGATATAAGCCAGAGAGCAAATGCATTGGGCACTGGGTTTGTAAGTCGATAATGAAAGAAAATGCATAGAACAACAAGCCGCAGGACAATGACCATCCTATAAGGATTTATCCTGGATGACGGAATGGAAACCTTCCTTGAAAGAGGTTGTCGAGCTTCATCATTCCTGTACCATAATGACATGTACAGATCACAAATGTTTACATATAACAGGTCCACTCATGGTGTTGACTTGAACAATGTGTGTTCTAAAGCAAAGCAGACTGATCATGTTCATGATGTGCAAGCTGATTTTACAGCACTATGGGAAATGACTATAGAAAATTTATCAACCCATCACCATCTCATAATATATTTCATGCAAGTGGGGGAAATCCTATGACAATGGCTGTTTTGAGATTTCATCTCATTTTTCTATAGTAGAAGGTTCCAACCTGAGGGGCATCCGACATAAAAATTTGCCACTACACTTTTTTTATGGATTTATACCATCATTTAATTTTAGACAATTAATTGACTATAGATTTCATGCTAACCCCAATGTAAATTTATTAAGGTGATGATGATGATACAACAACAACCTGGTTGAATCCCACAAAAGTAGGGTCTGGGGAGGGTGTGTGTATGCAGACCTTACCCCTACTCAAAAGTAGAGAGGTTGTTTCCAAAGAGACCCCCGGGTCAAACACTACATGTAATCGCGTACAGAGCCTATCCCTATGTTAAATACATAAAGCGGTTGTTTGCGGATGACCCATGAGGCCATGATGAGCGTCGAAAGTTGAATTTACTACCTGCTACTTCACTATTAAAAGATGTGCATGCAGTTTGAACGATGATCAAACTCACAAATCGTAAATCACACCAATGACAAACTCACAAATCGTAATTGCTTGAAGAAGACCAATACCGTAAGTAAAGGTTTTGGAATAGAAAAGAACTTACAGTAAGGAATCATCCACAAGAATATCAGTGTTGGTATCAATATCTCCACCTCTTTCAGAAGGTGGGTGACTAGTTGCTATTGGAATACCAGGCTTATCTTGCTTCATCTTCCAGCCATCTACTCTTTCTTTCCATGCAACATTACCTAGTCCTGGAGATCCAAACTCCCTCACTGGATCAACAACCCTAATATTGGCTGCACAAAATGATGCACTCCACTTTTTTAGTTTCACAAGAAAATGCATAGGTTGCAAGTTTATTAAAGGGAAAATACTGCCTCCGCCCCATACAAAACTTCTTGGCTTGACCATCAGGAGTTTAATAAAAGTGATGAAAAGTGAACATTGTGGTTGGAATATGTTTAGAAGGGAGAGAAATTTTGTAAGCCACAAGTTCCTTTCTTTAAAAAGAAAATAAAGTGAAATTTTTTAAACATCCAAAAAAGGAATGTAGGATAATTTTTGCGGGACTGAGCGAGTATATGCAAGACACTTACGAGAATGGTTTGCATAATTTGAATACGGTATGCGTTTAATCCCGCCACCATGACCAGGAGATGCAACTGAAAGGCGTTCAGGTGATGCAGCAGATAGTTCTCCGGAAACCTAAAGGAAAGGAATAGGAAGACTTCATTTGCAGCCCATTTCTCACATAAAGCAGAAAACTTTTGTTAATAAGAACATAAAAACCATACGTCTGTTCCATTTGTGAGCAGAGGGATATGGTTGTGGGACACGTCTTTGTCATATTTCGGGCGCACATTGTCTTCACGTCCATAAGTCATGTGCCAGCTCAGCATACGCTCTGTTAGCTTCTGTTTATCATTTTGATTTTCTGAAGAGTACTGAAGATCACCTGCACTATCATCAACATCACCATGCTCTTCCCTTTCACCAAGTGTTGCCGGACTTCCTGTAAATATATACAGCACCAACATAACAAAATATATACAACATCAACATAACAAGAGCATCACATTTTAAGTAAAAAATATTTTTGATAATTCTTAAAGCTCTATTATTAACCTATCTTGTCATTAACAAGCCATCAGGCACATGAAAGCACAAGTACTTCCACTTCTCATTTGAGGAAGGATGGATATTTTGTTAGGTAAATAATGTGAATAGCTACCATCCGTAAAGTGTTACATTGAAGAAGTTGGCACAGATCACACAACAATGCAACATTACCTTTATGCCTCTTGTATCTGGTTTTACATTGGGGACAAGACTGACTCCCATCCTTTCTTTCATATTCATAGCATGGCCTGCACACTGGAAAGGAGCAGACATCACAGGCAACAAATGGCTCACCATTTATAGTTGTGCCAACACCTTCACCACAAATCTGGCAGACCTGATCGCTCAAGGTCTTCAACGACTTCCCCTGCATGGTTAATCCCCAACACTTTAGCAAATTCATGTGCATAACAATGTAACATTATATTAAGAACAAACATTGAAGAACTTCAGATCAGACAAAATGCCAATCTACAAATAGAACATTGGTTTAGGAAGTGATGATCTAGATCTACTAAAAGTTAGAAATAACTTGTTCAAGACAGGCTGACAATATACTTGAGCACTTAATTTATTCACAATAATATAACTAATGGAAATGATTAAGGCATAAACTAGAAAAATAGCCACATATTTTATCAAAGCTTGAAGGTTAGTGTGTGAACCCATTGTCAATGCATTGCATCGTCAATACAGAGAACAATGTAAAACACTAAGCAGTAGAAAGCAGCTAGACATCAAAGTGGTCTGCTTGCACGTAAGGAAGTAAACGAAATAACTCGATTGTATCATCGAATCTATCTCACAAAACAAATCTGTCCTCATCAAATACAAACCTTGATTTCTCCTTCCGAATCCATAGCCACCTTGTTCTGATGTGGAAAACAGAACTGTTAGATGGTTTAGCCTTACTGAGGCACACTCCCACACAACATGCCACACGCCTTCGGAACCTCTTCTCTCAATCTTTCACTGCACAGACAACAAATCTAGAATTAAACCGATCTGCAGATCTCATTTACCCAGCTAAACTGATAAGAACAGGCATTCCTCCCAATAGTAATGCAACAAATTACAGCAAACAATCTCGCAATCTGAATTGCAGCTCAAGTAAACAGCCGACCACAGTCAGATTGTCCACACTTTAGAGTGAAAATTGCCGTAAAAAAAGCTAGAACAGAACACTCTATAGAACTACAACAAACAACAACAAAAAACTGCCGTTATCAATCAGAAATTCATGAACCGAGGTACAAGCGTAGCAAGTAGCTGAAGATCTGAGCGTTTACTCCAATCATTTCACAAATCAATCATCAAATCACCATTACCTCAGCCAGATCACCGACGGAAACCTTCCGTTTCTGCGCAAAAACAGAAACACCAGGAAAAGAAGGAGACAGAAGATCGAACGCAATGTGGAATAGAAATCAGCTGCGGCACGAAACGGAAGTGAGGAGAGGGAACCGACAATTTTCCAATGCAAGAGGTGTTTATATACAGTCTGTAGCTACGAGCTGGGAGCAGCTGGAGAGAGAGAGAGAGATTAGGACTAGTTGCTTCTTTATTTTGTTATTATGGAGAATCGGAGATTATTAGGCAATAATATAAGCTGGGAAAGACGTTCGGGGAAGAGGGGAAAACGACCCCAGAGCTGCCAAAGAGCTGAGTCTACAGAGAGAATTAAAAGACTTCACCCCCACCGACACTCCGTTTACCTTTTTTTTCCCCTTACTAAACTTAGGGGACAACTCTAATGATCCTTTAGACGAGCAAACCCAACCCATTCAATTTCATCGTGTCTAGGGCGTTGTTCAAATGACCATTCACGATCTTTTCAAGGGTCCTCATGAGCGTGGCATGTACTCCATCCGGAATCAAGTTCGTCTGTGGTGGTTAATTCTGTCAAAATCACTCCTTATCAATGGCATTGTCTTCTTGGTCATCCCTCAGTTCAAGTCACTCAATCTTTATTGTCTCAATTAGGTTTTAAATTTTAGTATCTTGATCATTGTAATTCGTGTTCTCTTGTCAAGTCACATAAATTTCCCTTCCATGTGTCTGACACCAAAACATTTGCCCGTTTGAACTTATTCATCTGATGTATGGGGACCTACTTTTGTATCCTCCTTTGGGGGCTATCATTTTTACATTAATTTTATTGATGATTATACAAAGTTTTGCTGGTTGTACCCTCTTAAACATAAATCTGATGCATTTGATGCTTTTCAAAGTTTTCAATCCATCCATGGTTCGTACTCAGTTCAATGTGCACCTTAAACTATTTCGTACAGATAATGGGCTGGAATATGTCAATAAAAAGTTTGGGTTGTTTTTACAAAATTTGGGGATTCTTCACCAAAAATCTTGTCCATACACTTCTGAACAAAAGGGTGTTGCTGAAAGAAAACATCGTTGCTTGGTTGAAACACTTGTCACACTCCTTTGCACCGCCAATCTCCTAGCAAAAATTTGGGTCGAAGCGTTGGCTACTGCAAATTTTCTGATAAATCGCATGCCAAAATGGTCCCTTAATCACAAATCTCCTTTTGAGTCTCTGTTTCAAAAATCTCCAGACTACAATCTTCTCTGAGTGTTTGGATGTTTAGCCTACCCGTGTCTACGACACGAGATCACAAATAAATTCCAACCACAGTCCAAACCTTGTGTCTTTCTTGGGTACGATTCCTCTTTTAAGGGGTATCGCTGTTTTGATCTCACCACCGGTCGCATATATATCTCTCACCATGTCTAATTTCAAGAAAGTCGGCTTACATACTCCACCGTCTCTTCACACACATGGTCTTCTGTTACTTCTCCGTTATTCCTCGGTGTCGTTCCCATTTTTCCTCTACCGTCGTCGTGTACTCCGCTACACGCTCACAAGGATACCCCACCCGACCCATTCTCGACCCCCACCCCCACGCGTCACACTCACAGTCTGCCCACTTCC